AACAACACAATAAAAAAAGATTTTATACAGTTATTAGAAGATGATTTTGTTTGCCAAACCCGGATGAGTTTGGGAATACTTCATACAAGTCTAAATAGACTACAGTCTTAACATTCTAAAATACATGTACAGTTATCATCTAATCGTCTATACCAGTTATAGACCGACAAATCCAACACACCAGTGCTTTCTTTTATATATAAGACATATTGTTTTATGCCGAGTTTTTGTAATGCTTATTATTTCGATCGTGTTTTAAGTGACAAACAGTGTTTACAAGATGTCCTTATTTCATAATTAGCCCTCTAGACATATTACCGGTACCTCATAATCCGTTAGAAATTTATACATTGAAGTAACTCTAGCAGTAAATTGTGTTGACACATTACGAACATAAAATGTCTTCTTATACCCGAGGAAGCCATCCACACATTTCTACATAAATCTTGATTGTGACATTGTGTGAATAAACTTATGTTTTAAGAAAAAGAAATTGATATTAATAATAAAAATAATTTTTTTCATAATCGATAAATTTAACTGAAATTTTAAAAATAGAAGAGTTAAGGAAAAAATACAAACACAATCCCAAGAAAACTGAACACAGTTATCCAGTCAAGAAAAATCTGAACTGAATAAATGCATTAATGAATAAATGTTAAAATAGACATCTAAATGTGTCTAGTAATTTGTAACATCCTTCAAAATGGCCAGTATAAAGTGTGTTGGACATATTTTTTTTTAATTCCTTTTAGCTTTAAAGCAATACATGTTTTATATCACCAATAATTTCAGATGATTTTCTTTACAAAAAAATGAGCTCAAAATTGCCACTTGTTGGATAATTGTATGTAACAGAGGTCATTATTTTTTCAATGCCTCCGCTAGGAGTCGAACCCGGGACCCCTGGCTTACTAGTCTTACGCTTTACCGAATGAGCTAAAGAGAAGATCTCTCTAGCCGAGCGGTATATTGCAGCTAGTATTTACAAGGTTTACATACTCCCCCTCCAGGGAAGAACTCGTCCTCGAGCTTCCAGGGGTCACGGTCATAGCCATTCCTTCGCAAGTATAGCTAGCGCTGAGTATTTTGTCAATTCACCCGGGTCCCTACGTGGGCGCCAATGTAACAGAGCACGTGAAATTTAAACAAATATTTCACTGCCTCCGCTGAGGATCGAACCCGGGACCTCTGGCTTACTAGTCTAACGCTCAACCGATCAAGCTAAAGAGAAGATCTCTCTAGCCGAGCGGTATATTGCAGCTAGTATTTACAAGGGTTACATACTCCCCCTCCAGGGAAGAACTCGTCCTCGAGCTTCCAGGGGTCACGGTCATAGCCATTCCTTCGCAAGTATAGCTAGCGCTGAGTATTTTGTCAATTCACCCGGGTCCCTACGTGGGCGCCAATGTAACAGAGCACGTGAAATTTAAACAAATATTTCACTGCCTCCGCTGAGGATCGAACCCGGGACCTCTGGCTTACTAGTCTAACGCTCAACCGATCAAGCTAAAGAGAAGATCTCTCTAGCCGAGCGGTATATTGCAGCTAGTATTTACAAGGGTTACATGTACACAAAGTCATTTAACATACAGAACTGGTGGACAGAATTACTTACAATACTGATACAACAGGAGCTTTATGAGCACAGCACATAGCTTGTAGGTACCAAGGTATTTGTACAGGTTAACTGATTCTCAACACCATCAACAAAGTGTATCATAGGAAATGTAAGAAAGAATACTATCTATATTAATGTCAATATTTGGGGTGAAAGTCAATTTGGATATATTTGCTGTTATTTTTCATCTGTCGGTATATTTACATAAATATATTTGACAAGAAACTGGGTACTGTGTTTCCTGTTGTCTAGTAAACTGGACAAATTCCGGATACTCCGTTTCCTGTTGTCTAGTTAACTGGACAAATTTCGGATTCTCCCTTTCCTGTTGTCTAGTTACTGGACAAATTCCGGATACTCTGTTTCCTGTTGTCTAGTTAACTGGACAAATTCCGGATATTCCCTTTCCTGTTGTCTAGTTAACTGGACAAATTCCGAATTCTCCCTTTCCTGTTGTCTAGTTAACTGGACAAATTCCGGATTCTCCCTTTCCTGTTGTCTAGTATACAAGATAAGTTTCAAGAATGTCCAGTATTCTGTGGTGTCTAGTTTTTCCTTCAATGTTGTCTATTAAATCTTGGTAAAATATTAAGAATTTTTCATGAAATTAATCTACTATATAGAATGGTGCCAAGTTTTCAACTGAGAATGAAATGCAGTATAGGAACATAAAACAATATGCAATACAGAAGAGTTCTCCTAAACATGTAAGCTTTGTAGGCAAATGAATGTAGACATTCTTTTGTAATTGGATCAACATATACTGCATTTTTACAATATTATACATATAGGATCTTACACGAGTTTCCATTTCATACGGGATTTATGAAACAAGTCTCAGAATTATTCTATTTCATGAGCCTTTGGCGAGCTAAAATGAAAAATTTGTGACGAGTTTCATAAATTTCATATGAAATGAAAACGAGTGAAAGATCCTTTTTATCACATAATCAAGATTTGTGGCATTCATTCATGTTAACCAACAATTTTCACGCAACCTTGAAATGTAAAAAAAGACGCCATTTTACTTCAGTGCGGAAGTCTGACGTCATGTACTTGTCCTAGGCGTGACGTCACAATTGAAACTTACAACCAATCACAGGGCTGATAGGTCACATTACATGGGTTAATATGCAAAAAAATATGACATGGGTATATTCACTGGATAACAACAGTACATTTTGTGATAAATAAAATTCTGTGAAGCTGCAAAATTGGACCCACATTTACATACTGTACTGTAGCCCAGTTCTTCAAAAGTTGCTATAGATCAAGCCTCTAACTGAAAATATTTCAATTTTGATATGTTTTGAAAGTACTTTCTTGTTCCTTGACTTTAGACCTTATTTATGTTCATTCACAAATAATATTTTCAAAAAATTTCTTGAAGCAAATTTCTTAATCTTATCAAGCTTTAAACCACTGGGCTCAGATTATTTGCTACACTGATTCAGCACACCCTGATTGCAGATTAGCAGCTGGCTTCACTAAAAGCTGAAAGATCCATATATGATTGGTTCACTAAGATCTCATGATTAAGAATAAGTGATATTACATTATATTTATATTTAACCTTCATTGTAAGGGCTCATTACATATGTGGTCTGGGTGGCCGAGTGGTTAAGGTGTCTGACCGTCTACGACACTCATCCTCCACCACTGGGTTGCGGGTCGAGACCTATGCAGCGAAGTTACCAGATACTGGCTGCAGGCTGGTGTTTTTTCTCTGGGTACCCCAGTTTTTCTTCACCACGGAAACCTGACTCATTCTGAAGTGACTATAGCTGTTAATAGGACCTAAAGCACTCGCAAAACAAGCCAAATCATTACATATCTGTAGAGATCCCTGTCCCAATGCACTGGTTTTAGTATATACAGTAATTTTGCCTTCATTTCATTTTGGATATAACTGTAGCACAGTTGGGCCAGGACACATCCGTTGACCAGGCAGTCAGAGTGACAGTGGAACAATCTGAAGTCCAGATTTCTAATTCCCGGTTTAGCCCACAGAATCTTTCCACTCAAAAAGCTGCTGCTGATTGCATTTCTTTTCTTTTGGTTGTCATTTTTAGAAATGAGTAGTTCTAGTTTTTGGCAGTGGTACAGGGATCCTTATGATTAGACCATTGTTTGGTTTAATTTTGTTTAACGTCCTGTTAACAGCTTAAGTCATTTAAGGACGTGCCTCCATGTGTGTAGTGTAGGCGTGTTTGGGTGTGTGTATGCTGGAGACGGGGTGTGTTGGTGTGCTTGCCTCCTTGTGAAAGTGCGGATCTGATGCAGACTTTGTAGTGCTATCTCAATCAAATACCTTGCCAAAGGCACCCCAGAACAGCATTCCGCCCGGTCACATTATACTGACAACGGGTGAACCATGCCAGTCATATGCTATAATATCTAAATCTCTATATATATCTATATAATACCAGTATTATATGACTGACTGTGCGTATGTATTTAAGAGAATGCAAACTGAAAATATGTTGATGATGCATGTGAAAGGATTATCTAGATATGCTCAGTTTTTCTCTCTCACAAATATTTGACATGACATATAACAGGGGACATGTACACTTTTTGGATTCATTTTGGCCTTCATTATACTGAAATAACATATAACTTTGAGATGAAATACTTGAGTTATACATGCATTTAAATAATGAATATTTCAGAATAAACTGTTCATAATTAGTGGGAGGCAATAACAAATAAATGGATGATCCATATAATCATGATTAACTAATCCTTTACATTTGAAAATAAGCCATCCAACCCTCTAATTGATAAACACATAAAAATATGTACCTGACTTCAAGATCATGATAATGTTAGACTCGTGGCCCTATTTAAAAAATGTACAGTGAAATATCCAAACGAGTTTACTTTAAGTACACCTATATCTATGTACTGTAAAGTGCTTAAGAGTGGCTTATGCTAGCTAGATAGGGCGCTATATCAAATGTTGTATATATTAATATTAATACACATGTTGTATAAGTACATGTATGCGCTATTTCCAAAATTTATAATATGTAATTTATATTTTCTTGACATTTGATATCAGAACTGAAGCACGGGACTGTTCAGGGGGAACACTTGAGTATTTAAGACCACCTGGCTGCCCAAAGGAGATTCTGAAAATTCTGTTCGCCCAAACCATATTTTCATACTGAAAATTTACACTAGCCCTAACATAGAACCTACAGTACTAACTCTAGATCTTAGTTTTAACCATCAAAATTGCACACCCTTGCATTTTGCTGTGTCATGTTCCTGGGGTCTGGTGTATACATAAAATGGTCCTTTACTGGAACATGTAAATACATGTACAATTTATCATCAAGATAACGTTTTATCACAAAATTAAAAAAAAAAAAAAAAAGTTCTAAAATACTTTCCAGAAATGATCTACATGTACAAAACTTGATATCATAATCATAGGCACTCCATATCTAACAAAAACATGTGAGCGTGGACATGTAATTATAAATGGTTGAACTTATTCACAAATGAACATAGATCTAGTCATCTGCAAGGGCTCCTGAAAACTGTGAGACATTGAAATATGATATTTTGAGATAAATGTGGATACATTGTATGACATTCAATAGGAAACGGATCAGACTGTTGTAAATTCAGGACTAAACACTGTACATACCACTGTTCTCTTACTGATCATTTTACTCATTCACCCCTGAAGACACATTTAAGCTCTTCCAATTCAAAGGTTGGAATGGTTCATTACGAAATGTCAGGGGTGAATGAGTTAACACAACGTTACACCAGTGTAGTAATTAAGCCTCCACCACTCCTTCCTGTACAAGTCAGATCATTGAATTTGTTAAAACTCATGGATACATTTTCATTAGACATTCTAAACACATGACATCCATTCCTTTCATCGTAAACTTGTTTGTTTTACATCTGCTTCACTATCCAGTAGTTCTGTTATTCAGCAGACGAATCCATCGTAGACTATTGTTTTATGGTTCATGCAACGTCACTGAGAACACGTTTGCATGTTCTCTCATGTTTCCACTGTTCAGACTTATTGTGATTCATATGACACATCTGGGAACAAGTCGTCTCTTCTTTCCACCAGGTAGCTGTAAGAGAAGTAATAATAATAATAATTCGAGGTTATTATATACCGCTTTATCACAACCTAGTTCGTAGGTTGTCTCAAAATGGTTCAAATTATCATCCGTGGTTATAGCGCCTTTGCAACCAGCTAATATCTTTCTCAACTCCCTGGGAAGCATACAGCTGGTGCTGCCATTTCGGCGCTCACAGTTAGCATTCAATAATTCTAGCACTGCCCAACGACATACTCACTGACAGTTGAGTAGACACGAACAAGCGGAGTATTTAAGTATCTTGCTCAAGGATACAACACAGTACCGTGCCTCGAACTTGCAACCCTTCTGTCACGAGCCCGGCATCCTACCACTATACTACCGTGTCTTCATCAGTACAGGAATACAATAATATATATTAAAGGACAGTCAAAGGAAAATAATACTGGCATTACCTATATCAACTTATAATAATACACATGTACAAGAGGCATGATAGGCTGTAATATTACTTATATACCTATACATATATTTTGCATCTTCTTATACTTATGGTAAAATCTACAACTGTTTACTAAGGCAACCTAAGATGGCACATGCAGGGTTCACTAAGGGAAGAGTTTATTATGTATTTAAATAGCTCTTATCTCATTTCATTAATATTACAATCCAAATGTTTAGTTCAGTTGGACCAGAGCTATTTACTTTTAAGTGGTCTTATGTTATCATTGGGTGAGCCCTGGCCAAGGACTTAAAGGCCTACATCAACTTCTACAGATCCCCTAGGTTTAACATTCTGTCTGCAGGCCCTTGTAAATCAAGCTTAATAGAGTAGTACTCACTCCATGAAATGGTCCAGCAGACTCTGTAATGCCTTCAACTTATGGTCCTCCATATCCATACTGAGGATCAGCTCTGGTAGTTTGACTGTAACACATTATCATACAGACTCGTAATTACAGGTAGACTCACTACCATACAGAGAGAATTTGTTACTATGAATCATGAATGCAGATATCTCAAATACATACACCCAGTTTATCTCAAAGTGAGATTTCATCCTCGGCAGATAATTTATACTCTATATTATTTTATCATATAAATACTGCGTTATGCAGTGTTATAAAGCCATCACATAAATAATGTTTATGTAACGTGTGTAATATCACTCCAGAATTTACGTCATAATCGAATAGGAACATTTAATGTGACGTCACGTCATTGTAAAGCGGACGCAATTTTCATCGTTTCAGAGGCGGCCAAGTGAAAAATGTTTGTTTCAGGTCACAACTATACAGTTTACTTTGTATTTAAGGATAAACTTGAATATTTTCATGTTATGGAGATATAACACAAAAAAACGGAGAGTATTCTAAATAAACCGTGAAGCGGTTTATGATGAGAGTATACTCTGGTTTTTTGTGTTATAGCTCCATAACATGAAAAATATATTCAAGTTAATCCTTATAATTTAATCTACCTACTACACACAATCCCTGTGGGAATCAAATTTTATTGATGGACTCTTTCTCTTAGAAATTATTGCACTGCTGTATCAGTCAATCAAAAGTGACGTTACAAACGGCGACATCATTTTTTGCGTTATGGGCTGATAATATAAATTTTTAAGCCAATGAAAATGCTTGTTACAAACAAGATTAAATTATTATATGATAAAAAGAATCTGTCATTTGTTTCCCTTCATAGTAGATTCATGAAACTCGTTTTAGATTTTTCATATTTGCTTGCCAGAGGCTCGAAAACATGAACAAGAGGCCCATGGGCCTTAACGGTCACCTGAGTCCTACAGTATTTATTTTTGTTGTTGAAATATGTACTAATTTGAGTAAAAAATAGTTAAGTATAATGTTAACTTAACTTTGTCAGGACCATGAGCTGATCATTCCTAGACCGATTTTCAGTGAGATCGGCCTATTAGAACTTGTTTTTAAGTTTGAAATAGGTATTTACAAAATAGCGGCCATGGCAGCCAAATTGTATTTCTGATTGACCCGAAAAATAACAACACTTTGTCAGGACCATGATTCGATCATTCCTACAAAGTTTCAGTTCAATCGGCCAAGTAGAACTTTACTTTAAGTTTGAAATAGTTTTTCAAAATGGCGGCCGTGGTGGCCATATTGGATTTCTGATCGACCCGAAAAATAACAACACTTTGTCAGGACCATGAGTCGATCATTCCTACAAACTTTCAGTTCAATCGGCCCAGCAGAACTTGACTTTAAGTTTGAAATAGGTTTTCAAAATGGCGGCCGTGGCGGCCATATTGGATTTCTGATCGACCCGAAAAATAACAACACTTTGTCAGGACCATGAGTCGATCATTCCTACAAAGTTTCAGTTCAATCTGCCCAGCAGAACTTGACTTTAAGTTTGAAATAGTTTTTCAAAATGGCGGCCGTGGCGGCCATATTGGATTTCTGATAGACTCGAAAAATAACAACACTTCGTCAGGACCATGAGGCGATCATTCCTACCAACTTTCAGTTCAACCGGCCCAGCAGAACTTGACTTTAAGTTTGAAATGTAAAATGTTAACGGATGACGGACGAAAACGGATAGCAATAGGTCACTTGAGCTAAAGCTCAGGTGACCTAAAAATACAAAACCTGTATCATAAATCTAATATGAAGGGATACTTATGACAGATCCTCTATATCTATAGTATATATTTTTAATGTTATTTTTCTCTTTAATTCATGGTACAAATGTTAGAGAGTTAAAAGACATTAAAACATTAAGACCATATATGCTAGAACAAAGACCAATTCTAATATTTCACCATTACAGTATCAGAAATTCAGTGAGTAAAAAGAAGCTTCATACCACTTCATTTCATGATTTTACTTCAAATGCTATATATTTTGCGTTACACATATATCTGAAATACACATTTGCCAAATTAACATTAATAGATTTTAACTCACATTTGACTTGAGTGAAAATATTCATTTTATAAAAAAATCAGTGATTATTACCCTAAATTTCAAAAGAAATGAAGTGCAGTTGTTATTTGAAAAATATGAAATGAACTGGATGGTATCAAAACAGTACAGATCTTTATTTAACCGAACAGAATACAACATCATTCTTTGGAACAGTACAAACTTACCAACAGTAGGTAGTAGTAAGTAGCATATAGGGGTGTCACAATACGCCAAGAGTGTATCACGATATATTGCAATACAGAATGAATATATTGCGATACGTATCCCGATATATATTGTCATAGGAATTTTATAATAAGTTGTTGTCAGAATGTTATCAAACTTAATCATATGTAATACGGATCACATAGATTTAAGATCTTTGTCAAACCAACCATCGATTACAAAATTTGAACTAATTCCCACCACTATTAAAAGCTTGTTTTGTGCTTATTGGTATATCTGTTAGAAACTGTAGTAATTTGCTAAGTTAAAACACCAAGCAGAATGAGAAACATAAAAAATAAGTTTTTAAAAAAAATATTGCAATGCAGCAATATTTCATCTCTGTATTGTGGTACGCTACAACATACCTGTGTATTGCGATATACCTGTTTTCCGATATATTGTGACAGCCCTAGTAGCATATATACTTACCAAAGAGTCTGAGGAGGTGGTGAGCCCCATACACAAGTGAAGGGTAAGGAGGTATCTTGATCGCTTCTTTCTCCGGGAGGAGTTTCCAGGCCAGCACACTCTCTACAATATTTTCACGTCCAGTTGGCTGGACACTGTCGCCACTACTATCAACACTTCCATGTCCAGACGCCTGGTTTGAGATGACACTGGGGATAAGAAGAGGTGGGGGAGGGTCAGCTCTGCGGGACACAACACCTGAACCCCCTCCCTCGCTACCCTCATAACCACACTCCATCTTCACAGCTACCGGATTTAAGCTAGAACTGTCACTGTACTTTCTCCGTCTAGATTCGCGTCGCTTGTTTGGGGTAACCTCCCCTCGTTTTTCAATGTCCACTTCATCTGTAGATGAAGATGCCTCCTGTGGAAATGTGGGGTATTTCTTAGCAGAGTCTTGTGCTGCTTGGCGTGTCAGTCTACGTGGAGTTACCTCTTCTGACTTTGACGCCAAATCAAACTCAATCTTTTCACGTTTAAACACTTTTGGCGACAGTTTTGGAATTTTGGGAGAGGAATCTCCAGTACCTGGGGTAGTTGAAACTGCTCCTTGAAACTGTTTTGCCTTTGACATTGGGGTCTTTATCAGTGGTGACTGTAAGCTGAAGCAGGACAAACACAATAATATGACATATGTCAATCATCCCACACTGAATTTGGCATGTCAGAACACAGAAACAGTGCATACATTAATGGTTTAATAGTTTGCTAGGTTACTTTGCGTATCCCGGTTGAAACGTTACAGGTGGCACAGAAATAGTCCATGATAAACAACGCACTTGGACCGTTCTATAAGCAGAGCTTAAAATGCACAGTTTCGGAAAATAAAAAATAATGTATACATCAAGAATATTATGCCTTTCTTTCACGCGTCCACCGAAAAACATAACGTTTCTTAAAAGCTACATGTGGCTTGACACTGTTTTAGAAAGAAATAGCGCAAACTAGCAATAGTCAGCATTTTAGTTTCCGTCGGGTAAGTCTGGACCCCTCAATCTACATGTGCCAAATTTTCCTGAGGTCAGCCTGTCGTTTTCTTTATAGGTTCAACCAGATATGCGAATGTACCCCTAGTTTTCTTTGTTATACTATCATGATAACTTGAACCTTCATTCCTCTGATATTCTGTGTTCCTAGTACCCCGATTTAACACCAACCATTTATGTCCTTAGTATAAATCTGATCTGTATATCTCAACTTTGAAGCACTTACTGGGTACCACCAGGCCTAGGGCATAGCCTACAGTTTACCAGCATCAAATGCACACATACATAAACAACAATGTATGTTTGTATACAAATGTGTTGTATCAGATGATTACTGGATTAATGACAGTATCATCCAAAGTACCTGTATTTCTACCTGTTAAAACCCTTTCAACCCTATGTAACTTTAGTAGACTCTACTATGCATTGATCTGGATGAGTCCATTATGGTCTGCAGTGGTGAAAGGTCTAAAGTAAAATGCTCATTTTCTGTGCATAGTACTAACTTTGACAATACTACACACTGAACACCAATCATCATTTTGATGGAAGAGTTTTTTGTCAGATGAATTTAAAACTTATATGGATGGAGATATAAAACTAATAAGGATCTTCATCAGTTTTTATCTAATATATCTTGACAATTAATTTGGTTCTTAATTAACATGATAATAAAGGGGAATCAATGCTTTCAACAGTTTATCTGTTTTTGTCATTCTGGAAATTCACACTCTACTTTTACTATATGGTAGACATAAATGATATACATTTTATGTGAATGAGTTTATAGTTGGCTACAGATATAGTTTCATGCTTGTATGTCCATTTTAGTTGCAGAATAATTACATGTAATAAATGTTGACCATTTCATATCTTATGAAATGATACAAATCTTTCTATAACCTTTTCTTTCTTTCTATTACTTGCATAAATCATCGCTATTGGTGACATGCTAAATATACAAGAAGCACTGTTCTACAATATATTGTCCCCTCTCAGATTGGTCAAAATGTTTTATTCCTTGTACTATTGATCTGAACTCTACAGGTCCGAGTTAGCATTGTTTAACTGCACAATTTGGTTTGGTTTGGTTTGTGTAAGTTTTACGTCCTATTAAGAGCTATGGTCATTTAAGGACGTGCCAGGTTTTGGTGGTGGAGGAAAGCCAGAGCTCCTGGAGATAAAACCACCGACCTACGGCCAGTACCTGGTACCTGCCCCCTGAAGACCTTGAACCCGCGACCCAGTGGTGGAGGGCTAGTGGTAGCAGAATGTCAGACGCCTTAACCACTTGGCCTCCTACTGCACAAGAATAACATTTCCAACACACATACATCAAATAAATGTACAAGCCCACACTTGCTACCTGTTTGTTTTGGACTCTGGGTTAGGTTTAAACTTGTTCTGGAGCAGCTCCTTGTACTGGTCTCTCTCCGGGGTGTACAACAGGACCAGCGGTAGTGTGTGGTCAAAGCAGATCCTCAGTCCATCCACCAACTCCTTACACAGAGGGATACTGTTGAACATAAGAACACATTCATCTCTATACTCTTCATATAGACAAAGGAAACATGGAAGATTATGGATTACATTAAGAGCTGTATATATCAGCACTATAAATCAATTACATCAAATAAAACATTATTTGAAGAACATGTTTTAGAAGTCTGACAGAGGTAACTTCAGAATTGTGGCATTTGAACTCTTAGTTTACAGGAAACCTGGATTTAAATATATTTTACTTCAAAGACGAGGTAATACCAGCTTTTTCTTATTTCATTGTTCCCATGCATACATAAGACATAATTTAGTCCGCTGAAGATGATTGGCATGCTCTTCTTGCAAAGAAAAAATAATATGTCAGTAAGACTAACATCAACATATTATAGCATATGTAGCAGGAGAGGAAAAATGCAGTCAGACCGGGGTTTGAACCAGAGACCTTCTGAACTCTAGCCGGATGCTCTACTAATCCTGTTGTTTGATCGCTGACGATTGACCCAGTCCAGTTACGCTACAGTGTTCATACATTAAAGATAATATTTTCAGGGCATTATATGTACCATATACTTATATATCGCTTTATCACAACCTAGTTCGTAGGTCGTCTTAAAGCAGTTCACAAATTATTATCCGTGGTTATAGGGCCTTTGCAACCAGCCAATATCTTTCTCAACTCCCTTGGGAGCATACAGCCGGAGCTGCCATTTCGGCGCTCACAGCTAGTATTTAACAATTATAGCACTGACCAAACACATACTTATTTACAGCTGAGTAGACTGGAACGTTACAAGCAGAGTAAAGCATCTTGCTCAAGGATACAACACAGTGCCGTGACTCGAAACCCGCAACCCTTCGGTCACGAGCGCCGCATCCTACCACTAGACTACCGTGCCTCCTTTATATGGTTTTCATATATTTATATAACTATCACTGAGACACTCTATGTTTACCCATATTTGTGCAGGCATGCCATAATTGGAAATCACAAATTGACAAATTCTTATATGTACAGTGTATTTGGCTTAATTGGAAATGTATGAATTGAATGTTTCCTCACCTGTTGTGACTAGTTGTCTTTATGCTTTGTTTGTTAAAAGAATTGTACATAGTTAAAAAGGAACGTTAAACAGAAACAGGTTGAATATGGTATCATGATTTTACAATAAAGATGAGCATACTTTTTGTCAAAAGGTATGTGTGATGTGCCCCCAGCTGTCTTCCCTTTTTCTGGTGTGCCACACAGCAGATTAATACAGAACGTCTTCACAAAGCCCTCCAGGATGTCTACAATATTGGTGTCTGCTGGAAGCTGTATCAACTGTTATAACAAAACAGGAGAAACAAATGTATATCTATATAATCACATTTACCTATGTCAATTTGATTTTTTTTTTCTAGCGACTTGATGTCGATCGAGAATTAAATTAGACATTCAATATTTCTGGATACTTCGTTTGTTTGGAACTTATAGAGAGTCCAGACAACTTGCATTGGTGTCAACTGTAGATCCACAAATGATTGTGATAAGTAACCTGATAAAAAACAAACTTTTGTAAAAAACAAATACTCTTTAACATTCAATTGTCTTTCTAATCTCATCCTCGACACTTTAAGGGTTACGCTCACTTTCGCTCTCTGCACCCCTGGGATATGTCATAACAAAATTTAATCAAAAGTTTGACTGGTCTCAGGTTAAAAAAAACCTGACCAATTGTCAGGCTGATACCTGTACATGGACTTTGAAGGACTTTAATACCATTACATGACCGCAAGATTCTTCTGATGAACATCAAAGGATTGAAATAGTCTCCTTGTCTCATCAAGAAGGTGGTGCACACCGAGCCTTCAATTTTGCTATGACATATTCCAGGGGTGTAGAGAGAGAGAGCGAAAGTGAGCGTAAACCCCAGATATCGAGGATGTTCTAATCTGCACAAGGTCCTTACAACAGAATGGGCTAAAAACTCATTAAATAACGATTGGATTTTTATCTTTATAACAATACACATGTGCAAGAACATAAGATGATAGTGAACCTGATAAATTTTCAGACAAGATCAGCTGATAAAAATAGTCTAATGCAAACTTGAAATTGTATGAAATCAGTTTATCATTATATGTGTATTCAGTGATGTACAGACCAGGCACTCCTTGTTGATAGCTATAAAATCTCCCTCCAGAACTTCCTTCAACACTTCAGGGATTTCCAGCTCTACCGTCTGCTTCTTCTAAAACAAAGTCAAATTTTATCTCCAGTGTCTAAACTTAACATTTAAAAATGTGTGAAGAAATAAACTGAACGAACGATAAGGAATACTACTATTGCTTTTCCATTGGATACTTTTATCACATGTTAAAAGAAAACCAGTTTGAAATCAAATTTATGGTTTTAGTGAATCTAAGTCACTATTAACTGTGGAAAGACTAAAACAGATTTATTTCAGTTACAAGTCATTATCTTTCCACAAGTGCCACCTCTAGGGGTTGAACCTTTGGACTAACATTACTAGTCCAGTGCCCTTCCAGTTCAGCTGAAGGGAAAATCTCCATCAGCCAAGCCAGTGACACTTGACTACATACCCTATGCACATGTATCAGGAAATGTTCATAAAGGTGAATATATCACAAGAGTAAACATTAGTAAACTGCATTATGAACATAGTACTCAAGAGTACAGGGTAAAATTAACACCAGGAGAAAACAGGTTGTACCATTGTTGGGTGAAAGTTCGACTGGGCAAGTTTCCCAGGATACAGAAGTTCAACACTGTGACATTTTATTCGAAGAAAAGTATATATAAGTTCAAGATGCTTTAGTTTATAAATATTTCCCATTATTAAGGTTTCACATTTTTAAACATGTTCCGTACACTTTGGTTTGGTTTGTGTGTGTTTTACGTCCTTTTAACAGCTATGGTCATTTAAGGATGTGCCAGGTTTTGGTGGTGGAGGAAAGCCAGAGTTCCCCGGAGAAAAACCATCGACCTACGGCCGGTACCTGGTGACTGCCCCACATAGGTCTCAAACCCACGACCAAGTGGTGGAGGGCTAGTGGTAGCAGAATGTCAGATGCCTTAACCACTTGGCCACCGCGGCCCCATCTGTTCTATATACAGTCATTCCAGTGTTAAGGATGCATAGAGTGGGGGATTTAACTATTTAAAGCACAACCAATCCACTTTTTACAGTATAACTACTATCAGTCACCTTCTTGTCCTCAGACTTCCCACTGGTTCGACTACTGCTCTCACTGCCATCCACACTCTGAAACAGACAAGTCAAACACTGAAAACACCGGCTATAGATCAAGTTGGTGATTCTACTGGTTTTAACATTTAGTTGTATGGAACAGTTGTCTTTTTTATTTACACTGTGAAAAGCATTAAATTTGTTTCTGACAGTTGTATATATGATATAAGCCTTTATAGTAGATCTAGAAATCATTTTCCATTGGAATATGTGGTATACATAATTAAAATCAAAGATATGTTGAATTGAGATATGGGCTTTTTGTATGCATCATATGACCGAAATTAACGTTACATTCTACAACCAAGGTAATTTCTAAAACTAAAGTAATTTTCCATTTGGAGATGTATTAGCCAAAATTAGGAAATTCCAGAAAAAATAATTAACTCATTCACAAAGAGTCGTAAGTAAAGGGCCACAAGAATAGATTAATACTTACATCAACATCTGCGTCACCATTGGTTGATCTGTCCTTCACCCTATTGTTCTCTTTGTCCGTCTCATCTGTCTCGTCCTCGTCATCAGTCTCGACTTCTGTGTCGTCGTCATCACAATCATCATTATCATCACTGAAATCACTGCTATAGTCCATTAGCGGGGGCCTGCCTTTAAAAGCTTCTTTTAAAATCTGGTCTATTCTATGATTTCTTGCTCTGTTGATGCGACTATGATAAGGAGAAAAGGTGATAAGATGATAGATATCGCATTGTCAGATATCTTTAATAGAGGTACATCATAAAATTAATGAATAACACTCAATAAGTAAGTATACAATATACTTAACATGATGTGAAGTGCAGAATGTCACAGCATACTAAATAGTTATAAAAGACATACATACAGACACAATTTTATTTTCAATAAAAATTTCGAAAAAATGAAAGCATGTATTTAAATTAATCATTATTACTTTACACATTGCTTAACATGAACCAAATTTAGTTAAAACTGAGCTTTTCACAGATCTAGATGTTAACTCACTATCTTTTGGTGATGTCGGCCAATCTTTTCATCAGATCTCTGTTGGTCTCATCATTTTTCAGAATGTGGTTTTCCACCACAACACGGTCCCAGCTGTGGACACCGAAACATTACAGTTCAAACAGGTGAAAAACAGTTTTTAACAGATATTTGTTTGGTGAGCAAAAACAAAAGACTTCACCTTATCATCCTATGAATATTTGCTTTGCACTTACTTGATCTGTAACCAAGAGGTGACTGTCACAGTGATCTAAATATCGAACATTGCTCACCTTGTGTGAATGTTGCAGAAATTGTTAAAATTTTATCCAAATTTCTTCTTGAATGGATAAAACTTTACAGCCAGAAATTAGCGCTTTTATGACTGTTGATCTAGAAGTGAAGGTCAGTGACCAAAACACTATACAATGTTCACCTTCTTGAGCTGCTGTAGGTTTCATCAAAATAATCTTTAACAGTTTAGAGTTGATAGCCTTGACAATTTTTTCAATGAAAATTTTGAACTAATTTAATTTTTGACCTTGAGGTGTTGGTCACATTGACTAATTATACTAAACTGCATTTCTCCTGGAGAACTTGGTTTAAAAGTCATTGTCAAGGTAAGTTTACACAACCAGTACATACTCAGATTTAGCAAGTTCCAATTTTACATTATAATCCATATGAATTTACCAGGTACCATGATGGTGATCAGCTGGGGCCTGTACGTTTACATGGAACAACCGGTTGGACCGTCTTTAAAAGTTTAAATCTAACATTTTTCGGGTATAAATCCTGGCGGACCTACAAATGTTTATGCAGGCCTTGCAAGGCTTTGTTAAGGCTTGCCTAAAAAGCAGCATCAGATTACTAGGTCCGACCTTATTTAATAAACGAACAACTGTGGTCCAACCGTTTAAACGAAAACGGTCTGGATCTAGATGTACTGAATAATAAAGTTATTAATTATTAGTTATAACATTATTAACTGCATTTGACAATAATAGTTTCACTAACATATGTGATATTTCTTCTTTAGAAGACAAAATTTTGTATCAATCTGAAAACTGCATAAAAATATACTCAAATATATAGAGGACATGTAACTGTTCAACCATTTCATTTATGTTGATATATATGTATTAATAATATGAAAAATTGAAAACCAATATTGATTTAGAAAGAAGAGAGGAAAGAGATTTATTTCTCAAATTTCAACATTATCAGTATTTAAAAAGCAAAATCATAACATTGCACTGAAATAATCATTACCTGTTATTCCAACCTTGAAAGTGGATGTGGTAAGCTGGTGTTTTTCTGGTGTGATTCTTAACATCTTTGACAAAGGTTTGGTCTAGAATCTGAAAGAAATAATTTTCAAGAGTATGTAGAAATTACACGTCAACACATTTCACAGGATACCAAAATGGGTAGCAGAGTACAGTAGAAATGCCCTGATCCTAAAAATGAAGGGCATGTCTCAGATAAACATGGATAGTGGATTCAACCTGCACAACACACCTACATATATATATATATATATATATACATGTATTTATAAACTACATTTTGATAACATTTTGTTAAGAAGACTGTTTTCTTTTTCAACAACTGTTTCCCCAGATTTTGGACTTGTGAAAACCATGGTTTCCACATCAAAAATTACCCAAAAATGCAAAAAACATGATTTTTAACCCCAAATTTGACCCCCGAAAGTAGTCATTTTGTTCTTAAAACCTGTCTGAAATTAAATATCGCCTACTCGGTAACAGAAATACTCACGTTTTAGCATAGGTCATACTGGTGGATTTTTCACAATATTTACACATGTGCTGAGTACAAAAATAGACTTCATGAAAAGCTAACTTTTGTTGTGTAGACACAGATTTGTAAATGCCCAAAACTGTAGTCTCAAACCAAATTCAATCTTTTTTTGAAAAAATTATCAAGCCCACATAGTCCGCTTCAACATGTATATGCAAATTTTAGTGCTGATTTTCTTTTTAAATTTTGTAATATTATAGGGGTTATTCATTGCATAAAAATGGCCACTGTACACTACTATCATAACACACCAAGAAAGAATGAGTTATCTCCCTTACACTGTGAATATATTTATTGCATGTTTTTCCCTTTTGGTTAAAAGATGTAAAAAATACAAAAAATATATATATGGTGAGCTTAGTTGTTGGAATTGACAATGGTAAAATTAACTAGTTACTCTGAGCTAACAGTTTTTGGTATTCAAAACATTTTGCTCTATCAGTAATTTCTTAATTTTTCACAATACAATTTTCTCTTTGGAGTCAGAGACTGTAGGCCTAGTACATGAATGCTGGAAAAATGACAGAATTTTCTTAGGGAGTAAATGCCTCTATAATACCCTTTGTTCCATGTACCACCTCGTTACCACCAGGCAGAGCATTTTAATGACCCTTTTCCTTTGTTGTTATGAATTGTCCCTCGATACATTTCCTAACACTTTTTTAACAACAAAACTTGACAAATGAAGGCAATAACATTTTAGCTAATTATCTGCATACTTAAACATTTTTAAAAAACACTGGTGGAAAAAAGAGAAGAAGGAAAACGAATACCTGCCAAAAGTAGTAATGACATTTAAAAGAGTATAACCTGTATTCTAATATAGGGGATTTTGAAGTGAAAATGCAGATTCAAAAATAAATTTTATCTTATATACATGTCATGAAGATCAGTACAGGTTAACCTGCACAAATGAAGGTGACTTGGAAGTAAGTATTTTCACAGAATAAGTGAAGTCAATGTTATTTTTAAAAAAATATGATAATATATTTATGTTATATTTTACAAATATCTTGATTTTAGTTGTCTGTAGAACATATTCCTATTTTCTAAAACTAAATTTGCATGTAGATATCAAAATCTAGGATTTCAAGGTTTTCAGTCCACTTGATGGGTGAAGGACGTCCAACTCTCTACCCAAAAAGTGTTTTAATAGCACAAAATCACATTCACCCACAATGTTTTAGACGACGAGATGAAATTACACATCTTTTTTTATCTTTAAGGGGTCATGGTATTTTAGTACGGCAAATAATCAGGTGCAAATATATACTTACTTGGGGAGAACACTGAACATTTAATGATGTTGTGGAAGAGTCTGCGATTAATAACAACATGGGGGGGGAGGGCCTATTGTAATAATTTTACACCTGGTTTAATTTACTGATTATGTAAAACAACATATTGTTGACAGTTATTGTAGGATTCAATATACAGTCAAACATGATTATGATATGAAATGAATAAAATTAGAATGTGGAGTTCATAGATTTATCCTAAAACAAGAAAATGATGCATCATACAGACCTTGGCGTCGTATAAAACTCTGGCTTTAGTCGGATCAGGCTCGAAACAGAGGACGCACTCTCCTACGCTGTATTGGTATTTGATGCCTCTTGTTGACATAGTAAAAAGACCCGTAAGGATCGTATCCCATGCATTAAGTTATTAAAATTCTGTTGATCTACTGGTTATTATGGACAAAGCATTTGTTGATATTTTCAGATCGCCTTCCCGCGCCGGAAGTTCCATTCAAAGCACCGGAAAAATAACATGGGATATTATAAAAAGGAAAACGGAAAACTTCAAATTCCGGACACTGAAATCAACAATATGTTTTCTCTTAGACTACCATGCAAAATCTTCTCTCTGAATTTTAGCACAAGTATTTTATTTGAAAGAGAGAGAGAGCAATTCCTATTAATATCAATTGTATCAAGGATGTTTTGTTTTGTTTTCAATAAGGTATATTTTGCAGAATAAAATTTGATGGAATCTCTACAGTATGCATATATGCACCGTTTTGAGGAAAAAGATCACGTCTTTCATAAATTAAGTATAAAAGGGCAAACACATCAGTATTTAAAGATTTTATTTATTTATTTCTCGGCCGAACGAACCCCGCCTTCGGACGATCGGTTTTGTGTAAGATGATAAAGTAGGTAGACATCAATGGAAAGCTTCACTGGTAGGGTTAAAATACTAAATGTTCTTGACGGGAACTTGCTGGTAGCAAGAAACATCGAATTATAGGGGTGATGATCAGACCGCGACAGAATTGCCTGTTGGTTCTCTTTTGAAATAGCTTTCTATTGGTCCTCTTGTTCTGGTTTCCTTGGTTTTAAACACGGAGTTATCTAAGTCCGTGGTTTCACGGAATTAGATTAGACAGAATTGCCTGTTGGTTCTCTTTTGAAATAGCTTTCTATTGTTCCCTCTTGTTCTGGTTTCCTTGGTTTTAAACACGGAGTTATCTAAGTCCGTGGTTTTAAATGAACATTTTGCTGTGATCCAGAATATGTCTATTCCCTCTCGGATTGGATCAGGTCAGCCCGTTGTCTTCTGTACTCTAAGAGTAGGTAATCCTATATAGATGACGCAGTCTCTCTGAGTAAGTTTTTTTTTAGACTGGGAACTAAACGAGTTGCCCTCCTTCGTACTTTTTCCAAAAGTTTAACGTATTTCCGTCAGCCATGATGGTGACCAAACAACACTTGCATATTTGTACAGTGTTAGAAACATATTTTTTCCATAAATGTAAAAGTTCTAAAGATGAGACCTATAGGTTCCTGTTAGCTTTTGCTACATATATTATATAAGTTGATATGTTATTTTCCCAATTTTGTCTTGCTGTCTACAATAACTCCAAGGTTGATTTCACTGTCTACTGTACGGATATTATGTATCTGAACTTCCTGCGTAATAGTGTACTGGTGATAGTCCCTCGTCTGACCAATGTTGAGGTATTTACATATATATCCACATTGAGTTTCGTGAGCAATGTAGCAGTCCAATCACAGATTGAGTTAATGTCTGACTGGAGATATTCTGTACACTCTCTGCTGTTAATAGCTCTATATATTTTTGATCATATGCGAAAAGTTTTGTGGTATTGGAGATGTCTGGGAAATCATTGATGTATATGAGGAAAAGTATCGGTCCCAACACACTTCCCTTAGGGACCCCGCTCGTGACGTTAATTAAACTCGACACTGAACCGGTCACTACTACTTTTTGTTTTAGATACGTAAACAAATCCTCGATCCACTTAAGGGTTTCGCCTTCCACACCGAAACTTGAAATTTTATGCAGTAGCCCTCTGTAAGCCACTTTGTCAAAGGATTTGCTGTAATCTAGGTACACTACATCGGTTGTCTCCCCTTTGTCTAGTTCCTCAATCCAATCTTCCAAGGACTCTAATAGTGGGATTGTACATGGTCTACCCGATCTAAAACCGTGTTGGCTGTTTGTAAGGAAGTTGTTTGTTTCCATGTGTTACAGTATTTTGTCCCTGATGATTCGTTGTAGAATTTTACTAACCACCGCAGTTAGACTAATTGGACGATAATTGTTTCTTTTTACATTGTCCCCCCTTCCACGTGTTAGCTAGTTTTCCTTCAATCAATGTATAGTTTTGGATGTAAACCGTCAGGCCCAGGACTTTTGTTGGGATTGATCTTTTGTATTGCCTTTTGTACAAGCTCATTCGTTATTTCAATTCTGTCCAGGGGTGTACTTATGTTTTCATATGAATATCGGGGAGTTCTCTCGTCATGTCTTCGATAAAAAAAATGATGAAATGTACTGGTTTAATGTGTCTGCAGCTTCTTGGTCAATTCGAGTCTGTTCATGGATGTTGATTTTTTTGATTTCGTGTACTTCCAGAACTTCTTTGGATTTATTTTTTTATCTCGTCAGCCAGTTTATGTTCGTGTACATATATAGTTGGCTCGCCTTATGTTTGCTGTTGCCTCGTTTCTTGCTTGCTTAAAGTTCTCAGCTGTTTTGCAGTGGAGGAATTTTTTCCCATTGATTTTGTGTTTCGTGTTGATTGATTCATTGGTCTTGTGGTCAAGTGGTCTCTTGATGTTTCCTCGGTATTGCTTGTTCTCTGGTACGTGTTTCTTTATAATATTTGATAGGTTGTCAACAAAACAGTTCCGACTTTCCTCCGTGATAAGACAGTTGTCAAATTTAGACCGTGAATCAGCTTGTATAAGATCCTCTTTAATTGCAGTATAGTTTCCCTTATGAAAGTTTCTGGTTTGTTGTACATTTGCTTGCTCACTTTAGGCATAGCAGTTGAGATTAAGTGACATAGTGATGTTGCCACTCTTTCCTACACCAGGAAGATAGTTAATGTCGCTCGTGTTAAGCATATTTTCTTCGTTTACGAGTATGATGTTGAGCAGAGAGGGCACATTTCCTTCCCTAAATCTGGTCGGTTTGTTTACACATTGTAAAAGAAAAAGGCCCTGTATATTTTCCAGAAAAAAAAGATGCAAGATGGCTGACGTTGACTGCTGTGTTCATGGTTTCCCAGTTGGTCTATCAGTAGTTAATTAATTATTAGCTCACCTCCGGTATCACTGGTGGGCCGAATCTGCCTCAAATTGATATTTCAATATATTCGTATATTACAGCAACACGATCGAAACTCAATGCTAGGGTTTCATTTTTACCATCCAGTGTGCAGCTGTCAGAGTGTAGCAATTCTGTTAAAACTAAAAAGACAGTGGGGTAATGTTTTTTTTTCAACCCTCCCAAAAGTAATGGTCTTCCTTTTAATAATTGTATGATTGAGTTTTCCTGGTCCCTTTTTCGTTTGAATGTGTCGCCCAGCCAACAAAACTGCCAAGATCCTCAAAATTGTAAATATTTGACCAAAACCAAAAATATCAGCGGTTGCCGCGGACTTACCGTTGAGCAAAAATTGCCCAGTCTCCCTACTGAGTTGAAAAGTTGTTATACACAGGGCCATCGATGAGAATGCAGACGTTATGGGGAAAATCGCAAAAAAATGTTGACTGAAAATAAAATTATCCACATTTTGAAGTGCAACGGAAGAAAGAGAGCAATTATCAATTGGTTTGTTTTGTTTGTGTTTTATATCCCATTAACAGCTATGGTCATTTAAGGACGTATCCGAATGTTAAGGCAGTACTTGTAACAGACCAAAGGCGATACGATATTTAATAGGATTTTATAGGATAAAAGATGGACACAGGCAAATATCTGCCTCGATATACATATCTATGATACAATACATACATATAATTAATTTACATTCAATTTTAACATACATGTAAAAACTTATAAATTTGATCGTATCTCATATCTATATTTTCTAGAGTTCATCTAAACTGAACTCAAATTCTTGCTCATTCACACTCAACGATCTGCATGATATGTATGTGATTTTGTCTTCAGACAAAGCACGTAATCACTAAATCCTTGTCTGCAAACGCTATTACATTGCCTGCCTGCAGTAAGAACTTTGCTTGCTTGACAACCAAGGGAACCCTACCTATACATTTTCCAAGGTTTCAGAATACGAAATACTACTATCACGTTTCTGTATAACATCTTTATGAATACCCATAAATAATAACGATACGGACCTGCCTCGTTTGTATTGGATTATGATACTTCACACATGAATCCTTCGTTTCATCGTTGTCTTCTCTAGTTGCTCAACCAAGCCATTATCTAAAACAGTTTACTTCCATTCGTTGTACATTTATACCAAGGTTACAATCTATTGTGACACTGTATATCTAAATCTTCCAATGTTGTCAAAAGGAGAAAATCGGCATCTTCTTCAATTACAGAAAGCAGACGATATGTCGACATCTTTCTTGGAAACTGGACCATTGGAACCGGGTTTTTGATTGGATTAAATTAACCAATGACCATTCATCCTGTACACGTACTGCTTCTAAACATCCTCAATGTTTAACGTGTACGTATAGCTTACACTAGTCCGAATTATTCGGACGTTTTATCGACTTTTTTCATATCGGTCTGTCGTCGATTAACCGACGACAGACCGATATGAAAAAGTCGATAAAACGTCAGAATAATTCGGACTAAGCTTACACTAATACATGTATTATTGCTAAACCTCTCTATTATGACTTTTTCGCGTAATAACGTCCTTTGAAAAGTGCTATTAATTAAATGTACGACTTTCTTTGTGTTAAAATGAATTCTAAAAGGCATTATTAAGATTGTTTGTGTTATATATAGGATCTTACATGAGTTTCCATTTCATATGAGATTTATGAAACGAGTTTTAAGATTTTTCAATTCGTGACGAGTTTCATAAATTGCACATTTTTGTCACATAATCAAGATGTGGCATTACAATTTTGTTCGTGTAAAACGGCATTTTTCATGCAACCTTGAAATGTAAAAAGCCGCCATTTTGATTCCAGTGCGTAAGTCTATGACGTCATGCACTTTGTCCTAGGCGTGACGTCACAATTAAAACTTTCAACCAATCACCGGGCTAATAGGTCATATTACATGTGTTAATATTCACTGGATAACACAGTACATTATTTGATAAAATGGCTTTTGAAATGCAGCGTTTCATTTTTTTTAAAATTTTCTGTTCAAAAGTCTACCCTTCTAGGTTTTCGTATAATATAACAAATGTGGAAGTTTCAGGGTGAAAAGGAAGAGAAGATTGGAGTTTGCCACTCTTTGCAGTTCTGGCACTGAATATCAAGTTTATTAACTTTTGATAACTAAGAACAAAAAAAGTCGAAACATTAAACTTTCTTCTCCAGTTTTCTTAATTTCCAACAGACAACAAAACACTTAAGAAAGTGCAAAATTTTATTAAAAAAATAAAGTCATTATGCTTAATAAATTATATGTGATTAGGAATCATTCCATCAAAACCTGTCATAATACACTATTATGTAAAAGTCAGCACAAAGGCCCGAAACCTGTGTGTGCAGTGTGAATGTTAGTATTAGCGGCAATCAATATGAAATTTACGCTAGTCCTTATCAATCCATGCTGTTGTACAAAATATGGTCATATACAAAATAATGTGTCTTTGATTGAAGAGGCCAGGGGACCTGGATAGTTCACATGTTTAATTAAAACAAATGACTTTAGTTTGAAACAGGTTATTTCGACTTATATTATTCATTCTTCTTGGCCCAGGTGTTAGTGTGCAAGGGGTCTTAATGTTGGAGGAAACTGGAGTACCTGGGGAAAAAACCCATGTGGTATATGCTTTATTGATTATTATACAATATTTCACTGATTACCCTTTATAACAAGAATAGGCCATAGTGAGGTGAATTTAAGTACAAGTTCACAGATATTAATTTCATACAATTAATACAAAAAAATCAACTCACTTTTTCAATAAATATAATTGGAAGATTTCGCAGGAGCTGCATTATCAGGCACTTCCCAATAGCACCAATCCACCTAGCTAGTACCTCAATATGTGTGTATGTCTAGGTGTGTGCTGTATTGTTAAAAGCTCTCAAAACATTTTATGTCTGTGAACTGGTCAAGGCATAGGTAATTTAAATGAACAAAACTAACAGCCCTTCACTCCAACAAACTACAAAGTATGATTATGCTACATATAATACTAAAAAATATTGTTGGAAAAAAAAAAGTTATTAACACATTTGACCTCTGTGAACAGACCTTGAAAATAGGTAAACTTAATTCAATTGAACACTATTGATAGCAGTTCATACCAGCCCTCTACTCCCCAAATGCTATGACTGAAGGACATGCCTCCATGTATGTTGTGTAAGCGTGCAAGTGTGTATGTGTGCTGGAGACAGGGTATGTTGGTGTATTTGCCTCCTTGTGATAGCGTGGCTCTGATGCCGACTTTATAGTGCTATCTTGCTGAAATACCATGTCGAAGGCACCAAACTACATACTACGTAGTTGTGTATGAGTCACAACACGAAGTAGAAACACTAACACTCATCTGCTGTATTCTTGATCACCTTGTCATTTGTCCATCACAGGGCATGGAGAGTGGACAGGACATCAGAAAACAGACACACGAGTGGTCAACTAGTCACTCATAGATCACACAATATGGACAATCCTGGATTACCTTGTCACTCACACAACTAGAAAACAGACACACAAGCGGTCAACTGGTCACTCATAGATCACACAACTAAGACACTGAACACCAGTGGTCATCTGCAATTTCCCTGATGACCTGGTCAATCTTTCAACACATAATATAGACATTGGACACCAGTGGTCATCATCTGTATCCTCGATCACCTGGTCACTTGTCTGAGAGTAAACATTTGTATCATCCGGCCACTTGTTTAAGAGTAAACATCTGAATCATCTGGTCACTTGTTTGAGAGTAAACATCTTTATCACCTGGTCACTTGTCTGAGAGTAAACATCTGAATCACCTGGTCACTTGTCTGAGAGTAAACATCTGTATCACCTGGTCACTTGTCTGAGAGTAAACATCTGTATCACCTGGTCACTTGTTTGAGAGTAAACATCTGAATCACCTGGTCACTTGTTTGAGAGTAAACATCTGTATCACCTGGTCACTTGTCTGAGAGTAAACATCTGTATCACCTGGTCACTTGTCTGAGAGTAAACATCTGTATCACCTGGTCACTTACACGACATACAGAGTGGAAACATGTCCAGCTATACCTGTAAATGTTAACATTGAAATCACAAATGCAGAAACATTGATATAGCTGTGAGAAAAACATTGGAGAGCAAACAACGGTGAACAGTGCAGACTTTTGTCTAGGATACACTTTGAACTTAGATCCAACTTTATCGTAGGTAAAATTTTATAAAAACTCCACATTTATTTGCTTTATCTGATCCATAGGGCATTGAACACCTTGACTGATTAAGTACATGAATACTTCCTGACATGGAAAAGAATAAGTAGGGTAAGGTATGTATGGTTTTGGCCCTAATATTTCTCAAAGCATTTAGTGAAATGGTTAGCAAGTAAGTCATAAAGTGACAAAATATTTAAAGCTTTAAATCAGGACAAACAAAGATATGTTGAAAAGTGTTAAGATGTACACATTCTAGATGAAAACATACCACAAATATTTTCTCCAATTTTGACATGTAGATAACCATTTATACCGAAGTCTGGTCCCCAGGAGTTCCGCACGATATAGTATGGGATGTCACCTGTTGGTAGAAAATTGCCATGGTGATTATACAACAATGAACTGAACTTTTCCAAAAAAAAAAAAAACAAAAAAAAAACCTACACTACATCATTTCACATTGGAAACTTGAAAAAAACAACTAAATGACTCTTAATATTTCAACAAATTACTGACATGTATTTGCTTTAACCCTTTCACCACTGCAGACCATAATGGACACATCCATGTCAGTGCATGGTAGAGTCTACTAAAGTAACATACCTGGGTTAAAGGGTTAACTCATTCACCCCTGAAGACACATTTAAACTCTTCCAATTCAAAGGTTAGAATAGTTCATTATGAAACTTCAGGGGTGAATGAGTTAAATGTCTACTATAACAGTTTTGTATGGATGTGATTTTACAAAGTGTTGGATTTCTTTACGCTTACACGGTTTTTGGGAAAAACATCAAAAAATGCATTCTCACAATTTTTTCTCCTTCAAATCTCTCTATTGTATTTGCTTAGATGTAAATTTAAAATAATAGTAATAAAAAAACAATACAAACTGAACACAATTTTTTTTATTAATTGCTACTGACAAAATTTATTGAGGTTCATGTACAGAACATAAAGGTACATTAAAATATAGAGTTTGATTTTTTGCTTCTTTGCCGGGTCAATATGACAAGATTCATTTACAGATACCTATCTGACCCACATTCTAACTTAATACGATTCTCTGCATGTATCAGGATCTAATGATGCCCCAATAGGGGGTCACATTCTATTGATATTTTATTTCAGCTAATCAGAGTGATGCTCTCATATTTCTTGTTGTTGGAAAACAGATGTATACACAGGCACCAACCAACCCCTGTCATCTTAGGTAAAAGGCAAATGTGCTATCCCCTTGCACCACCTAACAACTCAAGCTGGTATTTATCAGATTGACCTCTCAACAAAACATCAAAACAGGAGAACAAAGCACTGTACCTAATCGCATATTTTTGCTGCCAGTTTACTTTTTTATATGCATGGCATGTCTGACCTCTGTGGTTGGGACTATTTATAATAATAATGATAATATACAGCATTTGATATAGAGCCCTATCTAGCTAACATAAGCCACTCTAAAGCACTTTACAGTACATAGATATACAATTAATACAACAAGCATATACATTAATCAATACAAGTTTTGAGGAATTCGCAGGAGCTGCCTTATCAGGCGCTAAGTACTAGTCCTATGCCACCTGGCTAATATCTCCCTATGTGTGTATGTCTGCGTGTGTGCTGGAGATGTTATCCCATTACCTGTTGTGTCATATCCCACGATGACCACTGCATGGTTGATGGTGTTGCCACAGTGGTGCTGAACGATGCCACCCTGGTAGTTGGCCCACAGGGTGGCATCGACTGATACTGTCAGCGGCCCATTGGAAAGTAGCACGAGCATATCATATTCATTTCCCATATATCTGTACAGAAACATAAAACACCTTTTACACACTTATACAGAAGGAGTCCTAAGTTTACAGCCACAGATCCAATGACTTCCTTATCATGGTTGTGCAGTTGAAAATTGGCTACCTGCTTAACTCATTCACCCATGAAGATACATTTGAACTCTTCCAAATCAAAGGTTGGAATAGTACATTATGAAATTTCAGGGGTGAATGGGTTAAATCTAGTGTGACAGATTATATCTAAAGGTAAACTAGAATTAAACACAACTAAGTTGTTTTGTCACCTGAACTGGTCAACAAAATGCACTTGTACTAGCTAAACATTTTTTTGTAGTTAGCTTCCTTCAGTGTCTTTGTGGCCCCTTCCTCTTGCGGTGTCTAAAACATTTTCATTCAAATTCATCAAAATTTATGAAAATCCTGTTAAAAGTATCATCCAGAAACTGTTAGCTAATCACGCTAGAACATCTGAATTAAATGTTAGCTCGGTACAAAGGTCGTTACTCACCAGTTTGTATCAAAGTCATTACGTTCTCTTTAAAGATGTCATTAAGAAACTATTACCCATCAAAGAGTACCATCCTTACTATATATGCATGGAATATGAGGGAAATTGACTCAAATCTTTAAAAATTTATATTTAAAAACGTCCAACCTGACTATGGCATCCTTATACATCTACACATTAAAACACATTATGGCTGTACTCACGATTGACAGGTGAAGTTGCTGACCTTGACCCCGGTGAATGAGGTCGGTAAGAGGTTACAGTTTTCTGACGTGTCTGTCAGAGGGTAGACAGCATCACTGACCAGGGGAACATGACTCTGCGAAAAAGTAAGAATTTATGGCCGACTGACAAGGCAGAGAGAAGTCCACGTAACAAATGACCAGTATATATATGTGTATGTAAAGACAAGTCAGTCACCAGTGGTACGAGGCTGAGGATAAAACAGGAGAGTCCCATCCCTGTTTAAAGATATGACTGAAAGATCACATATACTACTAATCATGTGAATGTTAAACTCATTCACCCCTTAAATTCCATAATGAACTATTCCAGCCTTTGAATTGGAAGAGTTCAAATGCGTCTTCAGGGGTGTATGGGTTAAATCAAGCAGATTTTTCCGATTTCCAAATTTAAAACTCCCCTTTTAAAGGAAAAAAAACACAACAATTTTTTTTAGAAACTGGAACTCTGGGAGATTGACGGTCCAGTAGTCAATTCAGTTCCATAGAAAGTAGAACTAAGATCTGGTTTCTACAGGTTTCAAGTATAAGCAGGTTACACGTGTATTAACAGCTGTTTACTCACATCCACCAGCCATTGCATGGCGGTGCAGGTGTCCCCACCTTGACATCCGGAGTTGTACATCGAGCAGTCAATGACTTCCTGTACACTCAGGTCCGGAGGTGGCACATGTTTCTGTATAGAATACATACTCTCCACTAACTCGGCTGTACTGAACGCCCTGTCAATTATAAATCACATAGTTACCATAAATTGCCAATTTATACTTCATCATTCATAACATTGTTTACCTGTATTTTTTTTATTTTTTTTCGACATAACAGAATATTACACTGCATACAGGAATATAATTTATTTTTATTGAGTGATTTGTGTTACAGTGAAACTGTAAACTCTATAACATCATTTTTATCTTTTGTTATACTTTACGTCTAGCAAGCCCAAAACTGAAAATCAACACTGCCTGAATTTTTCTCTATTTCTATTTTTAAACACAACCAGATGTACATGTTAATGTAAAACAAGCAAGAGTACTCAGGAATGCTGTTTTCAGTACCTGGTCTTAGACACAGGATGTTTTTTTCAACACTGCCTGAATTCGCGTTTTTTTTACAAAAATCTTTAAGTGACAGTGCATGAAATCAAAACCATATAATGTTTAAAGATGGTGTTCTCCTCATGTAGCCAACAAGCAGTGTATATGTTACACAGGACCAAGATGTACTAAAGTTAGGAAATAGGTTATTATTGTTATGACGGGTAAGATGACATGTGTATCTCGATCCTGTTATGATAAGATAGAAGGTATGTTTTGTTAAGCTAAGTGTACAAAAAAATCTTTGTGAATTTCAAGTCATTTTTTGTTTCTTAATGAATGCCAAGAATATATCTCTTAACAAGCATCCAGTTTGTCCAACATACCAGCATCCTCCACAACCGTTTTGGTTTTTCACCGCGCTCACATAGCTCTGGTTCTTGAAGTCTCTCCTGATCAAAATATGTATAAAGTTAAAAATAATGCAGGATTTTCCCTTATTAACTAAAGCAGAACAATTTTAAGATGTTTTTTCCCTGTTAAACAATATAATTTTACAGCATCATCTGAAATTTTAAGACAAAAATCAGTAGTTTGCTTTTTTTTATTTAAAAAGAAATTAAGAAAAAACAAATTAACTTTCTGTCGTGTAGTCTTTTACTTATTTACTTAAAACTGAGAATCAGATGTTGGGTTCACTAACTCATTCACCCCTGAAGACACATTTGAACTCTTCCAGTTTAATGGTTGGAATTATGAAATCTCAGGGGTGAATGAGTTAACATACAATTTAACACATTTACTCGCAAAATCAAAAAAATGCATTGACAGGATTTCAAATGAGTTCCCCTGTCATAGATTTTCATGACACAAGTGTAGAAGAGGCAAGGGACGACCACTATTTTTCATTTGACCTTGCCTATGAATTTATGACAATATCCATCCTCATTATCTAGGTGTTTCACAGAGAGCGTCAGTGAGCGTAACCCTGGATATCGAGGATGGATAATATCTTCAGTTTCTTAATTATGACACTACAATGTGAGTATTTTTCATTAATGTGATAGTCTCCTTAAACTTCAGGGCAGATTTCTCATACATGTATTATAACAGCTAAATATCGTGTATTGCATTTCACAGGATTATTTTTTCAATTTTGTGTTTTTCAATTTCTTTTTAGCCGAAATATATTTACCAAAAATATAACTTGAGTGTGAAAACTACATACAAACTTAACAAGACCACTTCCATATCTACTACTGTAAGATCTTATCAAGAAATTATACACAATATCAATTTTAAAATAACCTTTTATTATCTAAGTATACTATTTAGTAATTGGCATATATACCATACCATAAAATTTCATGCTTCTGGTGAAATTGTTAAATCTGTAAGATGAAGTTGATTACAGACATTATTATGGTCTAACATTCATATATTTTTTTAACTTCAAATGTTTAAGTACTAACCAGTCCAATTTCTTGGGTATATTTAAAGAGTATAACTTTTCTGTTTGGGTTACATAACCCTTAGCCTTCAGGACACCATGGTGTGGCTTCAGGTCAGTCAGGTAAGACGCTGAAAAACAAAAAGGAAAAGTCATGTATCTGATCAACATCTTTCTTGTAAAACATACAAAATTACAGAAAAAAAATACATTAAACATTTTTCATGGAATGTTTTTTTTTGTCAGCATTAAATTATTTTCACTAAGTCCAACTAAATTGAACTAAACTTAAGAAAGAGTTGAGTTTATTTTACAACTACCTTTGAATTCCTCTGGTGTGAGATCAGAAAATTTGTTGACTCCATACCATGCAGATGACTTGTTGCTTTGTTGATTCAATTTTTCTATCCTATACAAATTCTCCTGAAATAATTTACAGATTATATTGAATATTTTTCCATTATAACCCATATTTCTAAATATTTTCTTCAGGTTGGTAAGTATGGATTATGAAAAGTTCTTTTTACACAACCAATAAGATTTTCTTATTATAAGATAAGGTCATGGCAAAGCAACAGCCATGAAGCCCCACAATACGCTTCGTAATATATCCTAGTAACCCTAAGAATAAAACACAGAAATAAATTGTATATTGGAGAGACTTGAAGCCGATTTGGGGTCCGCCTTGGTGAACACCGGAAGGATACAGAAACCGAAGAAGTTAGGAAATTTACCAGAGCAGAAAGGAAGCAGTCAAAGTCCCAGATAAATAAATCGGTAATCACAGATCATGCCACACAGGAAAATCATGTGATTGACTGGGATAACTCCAAAGTTTTGGACCGAGAGAGCAATCTGTTCAAGTGGCAGATACAGGAAGCCATCTGGATATGCAGCAGTGGGCCTGAGTTCTAAATTGAGATGAGGGGGCTCAAAGACTCGCACATCTATGACCAAGTATTATACAAAGCGTAGCTGAATCGAGTCATTACAGTGCATATACATGTATAACAACTTTTGTTCATACGCTTAATTACAGTGTAGCCAAATTGACATCGATTTTATGGGCAACTTGTACACATTTTACAACTTTGTGTGCATATGCTTCACTGGTCAGTTGTCTGATGAAGGTGACAGTGTACATATGGTACAGTACTATATATATATATAGTCATCGAAACGTCACATAGAAAATCTTATTGGTTGTGTAAAAGAACTTTTCATAATATCCCATATTCATATTCACTAATGTGTCTTTTTATGTTTCACGGGTGCGAAACACCAGTACGAAGACATTCAACTATTCAACAGGAAAACTGTACTGAATTTTCTAATAACAATTCACGAATTGGCAGGAGATTGCCGTGGCAACAATCTTACCTTACATATGTAAATGCTAAAAGGACATCAAACTTAAATACGTTAACATTATTGATAAACAACTTCAAGTTTAATTTGATAGAAGCGGTTCAGTGGGGTGGG